ATTTTGGAGAGCTTGATTATGATATGTCTTGGTGATTTTCTTTTGGATCTATTCTTCCTGGGTTTCATTGAGCTTCTTGAATGTTTATCTTTTCACTTTTCAGGATGTTAGAAAAAGTTTCTTCCAGCAGTTCTTCAACTATTTTCTGTGTGGTCTTATGTGAGTCTTTTTGTTCTGGAATGCCGGTAATTCTCAAGTTACTCCTCTTTATGTCCTCCAACATGAATCTTAGACCTTCCTCAGATTTTTTTAATCCTATTTTTTTTCTGTTTGCTCTTCTAGTTTAGTGGTTTTGAGAGATTTGTCTTCCAGATCACTAGTTCTGCCTTCCATGTCTTCTAATCTACTCCTTTGCCCTTTCAGAGTTTTGTCTATTTTTGATATTCTATTATTGATTGTTTGGACCTCTTTCTGTAGGTTTCCAAATTCATAATCTTTATGGGAGGATACAATGGCTTTGTACTAAAAGCACTGGACTAGGAACCCCAAGGTTGGGTTGGTGGTTCAAACTCACTAGCTACTCTTCAGGAGAAAGATGAGGTTTTCTGCTCCCTCACTGAATTACAACCTTAGAAACATCATGCAGGGTTGTTATGATTTGGAACTGAATCAACAGTACTTAACAACAACAATGACAGTGTTTATGGATTAAACTGCCACATCTTGATCCTGTGCAATGACTAGTGGGTTCAAGCTTTCAACCTTTTTTTATAGCAGTCAAGCACTTTAACCACTGCACAATAAGTGTTCCTAAAGAATATGATAAATTGTTTGAGTAATACTTGTATTATTCTAAAGAACAATTTGTACCAGGCCTACAACTATTTATTGTATAATGGTGGTGGTGGTTATGTGTTATGGAGCGAGTTATAGGGTATATTAACATTTGTCAAAGACACAAGTAATTAACTCTCTGGAGGATAATGTGATGTGACTAAGCAGGAGAGGAACTTAGGTAGAAAATATCAGCTAAATAAATAATTATGATTCAGGTTGGTATGTAGTAATTGCCATAAGAGAGACAAAGAAGAAACAAACAAGAGTGATTTTTTGTGTGTGTCTCAAATGACATCAAATAATTTTCATTTGAAATTGAAAACTAGAGTTATTAATTTTTATGACTAGTGTGATATTATAGGACGAGCACTAGACCACAAGATTATTTGAATTGCAAGGTGGGTGATTCAAACTCACCCAGCCACTGCTCAGAAACTATATAGAGTTGCTATGAATCAGAACCAACTCAATGGCACTTAACAATATGCCAATTTTATATCTTAAATTGCAACTTGTTCAACAATCCAAGATGCATGCTCACTTTACCCTTAGCCTTTCTTATTTGAACTACTTATTGTTAGAATATTCACAAATATTTTTAAAATTAAGGAACAGTATAATCAATGCATATGTGTTCATCTTCTTGGTTCAATAATTATCTCTTTATAGTCAGTCTCCTTTCTTTTCTATTCCACTGCATCATTAAGACCAAAACATAGAAAAATTTTTGAGTCATGCATTGATCCAAACACTAATTGCTTTTATCCAGTACAATTTTCTTTTCTCCCCAATGGACCCACTCATAACTATTCCCATCTACATGCTCCTTTTTTCATTTTACTCATAGTACTACAGATCTGATGACTCAATCCTGCCAGAAGACAGACTCTAAAGGTTAGTACCGCACACTGACCAGCTCAGAAGAACGAGCCAGATCATCTTTAACTTCCATTCCTACCTTCTCCCCTGGACAAATGGCTCCATGATGGTGTCTCCACAATGACACTGAGTGAAACCCTGTTGTACATGAAGATCATTGTTCTGCTGCACTGGTTTGAAATATTTATGTCCTTTTCTGGAAAAATCCAGGCTAAGCATTCTCAATATCATAGCTCCCCAGAAGTGGTGATTCCCTTGAAGCTAACTAGTACTAGCAGAAGTGTGACCACCCCAGGCTGGCTTTCTTATAGCTTATATTTTGGGGGCCAGAACCACATCATTCATATGAAGGTCAAGAAGTTTTTGCTGTCTAGACATTTGTCTGTGTTCACCTACACAGACCAGGGTGCACTCCTTGAAGACCAGCCTTTTATTCAGAATGACTGCTACTATCAAGGTTATGTAGAGGGGGACTTGGAGTCCCTGGTAGCCCTCAGTACCTGTTTTGGGGGCTTTCAAGGAATTCTACAGATAAATGATAGTGCTTATGAAATTAAGCCCATAATATTTTCTTCCACATCTGAGCATCTAGTATATAAGATCAATAATGATGAGACACAATTCCCATCCATGAGATATGGCTTCATGCAAGAAGAAATAGCACACCGGTTGGAGTTTCAAGATATTTCTAATTTTACGCTCAAACAAAGTGCTTATGAGGACTGGTGGACTCATGTCTGGTTTGTTACATATGTAGTCGTTGTGGACCATACTTTATATCTTCATTACGAAAGGAATACATCAAAGTTGCAAGAGGATTTATATAATGCTATCAATGTTGTAGATTCAATTTATGATGCATTGGGAGTTAATTTGTTATTGTTTGGTATTGAGATCTGGACAGAAAGAAACTTTATTGCAGTAGACAATGTAAAGAATTCTCTAGCATATTTTTGTCAATGGAAGGTCAAAAATCTTTCTCCCCGCCTGCAACATAATGTTGCACATCTTTACATGAATAAGGGATTAAGAGGATTACCTGGTTTATCATTCCTTGGAGGAATGTGTGAAATGAGTTATAATTGTGGGATTGTTTCTTACCTTAATCTAACCTTGAACAATTTTGCAATCTATGTGGCTCATGAGCTCGGTCATAGTATGGGCATGAGTCATGACACAGATACATGTACTTGTGGGAAAAAATCATGTATAATGAATCCCCGAAAAATTCCATCAATTAAATTTAGTAATTGCAGTTATGCTGAGTGGTGGAATACCATTATAAAGCATAGAAAATGTATGCATGAAAATCCACAGACAGGAAACATCCTTATAGGGAAGCGCTGTGGAAATGGTGTGGCAGAAGAAGAAGAGGAGTGTGACTGCGGATCCTACAAGAATTGCGCAAAGGATCCTTGTTGTCTGCCAAACTGTATGCTGAGTCCTGGGTCTCTTTGTGCTTTTGGACTTTGCTGCAAAGACTGCATGTTTTTGCCATCAGGGGAACTTTGCAGACAACAGGTCAATGAATGTGATCTTCCAGAATGGTGCACTGGGAAATCCCATCAGTGCCCTCAAGATTTATACGTGCAGGATGGAATCTCATGCCTAGATGAGGGCTACTGCTATGAAAAGAGATGCAATAATCGCAATGAACAATGCAAAGGAATTTTTGGGAAAGAGGCAAAGAATGCAAACCAGATATGCTACAAAGAAATGAACACTCGAGGTGATCGGTTTGGTCACTGTGGTATAAATGGCTCCATATACACCAAATGTGCTATTTCTGATATATTGTGTGGCAGAGTTCAATGTGAGAATGTGATAGAAATTCCTGTTCTAAGAGAGCATTCTACTGTACATTTTACTCACCTCAATGGTGTCTCCTGCTGGGGTACTGACTATCATTTTGGGATGACCATACCTGATATTGGTGAAGTGAAAGATGGTACAGAATGTGGCCCAGGTAATATCTGCATTCACAGAAAGTGTGTCCAATTGTCTCTTTTGAAAAGTGATTGCTCGGCTCTAACTTGTAACATGAGGGGAGTCTGTAACAATAAACATCAATGTCATTGCAATTCTGGATGGGGTCCACCCAACTGTCTGAGCAAAGGCATTGGAGGTAGTATTGATAGTGGAATACCCCCTGAAGAAAAGAACAGAATAATATACCTGATAATATTGTTGTTTATTTTGTTGTTCCTTTTAATTTTTTGTTGTATCTTTTTATGTTTTAAGAAGTCTAAAAAAGAAAATCAAAAAGTTCATACTAAACCTCAGAAAACAGAACGGAAAGCTCAGCCTCAAGCTCAGCAAAGAGAGCAAAAAAATGAGACTGAAGCTCAGCAAGAACAAAAAGTTGAGAGTCAACTTCAGCAAGGAGAACAAAAAGTTGAGACACAGCTGAAGCAAGAAAGACGAAGAGTTGAAAATCAATCTCAGAAAGAAAGACAAAGATTTCAAACACAATCTCAGAGAGGTGGACAAAGAGTTCAGATTCAGTCCTTGAAATCAAAGCAATCAGTGCGAATTCAAGGACATAAATCCATGGGCTAAGGGGAAAAACTCTATTGCATTAATATTTAGTCTCCTGCAGTAGAAATACTAGTGTACGTCTCTAGGAGATCATTGACAGAAAATATCACATATCTATTCTCTGTCAAAATCAAATTTGCTATTAAAAAAAGCAAAGAAAAGAAAATGCAATCTCTTGCATGTTTCTACTTATTTTTCATTATTGTAAAGTTTATTTTTCCTGAAATTCATCTCTTTAGATTTCCTGACCAAAGGCATGGTTTAGGGATGGTGTATCTGTTTTTTAAGGTGCTGCCTCTTACTTTCAAACTCTTTCCCTAATATATTTTGCTTTGCAATGCCAAAGAATTTCTTCTTGGACAGCTCTCACCCAATCATATTATGCCAAAAGGAAAGCTGGAAGCTGGTAAGTGTTTGCTTCTTTTACATTTCAGTAAGAGCTTTTAATTTGGTAGCAGTCATTGTTTATAGTCTCCATTTTATGTCTTTTTTTGCTAAATGACTCCCAAAACAACTTCATTGTTAGCTTCAAAAATATGAGCCAACTAGTTAGTTATATACTGTCAGAGTTCTGAGTCCCAGCTCCTTGAGATGTCTATCGATTTTCCAAGTTTCCCACAAAAGTTTAGGAGTACCTACTGCTCAGAGTTGAAAGTCCTAGCTCTATGATGCCTTTCCTATATTTTCAATATTCTAACAACCCAATGTTATTCCCTTAGCTTTCCAGGACCATTAATGAACTCTCCACCATATATATATTTTCAATATTCTAACA